CTTCTGCGTCCGGAAGCCAGTTGGATGGCGGATTGTTCACGATTATCGGTACTTGAACTCCAATACGATACAACATAGTATACCGATGACGAGTAAAGAAGGCATACTAGACGCCATGGCCGGAGGGTACTGGTTTTCGACGATGGATTTGATGTCCGCGTATTATCAAGTTCGTATGCGTGCGGAAGATATCAAGTTTACAACGTTCCAGGCGCCAAACGGACTCTGGGAGTATATGGTGCTACCCATGGGTGTCTGCAACGCGCCAGCGACGATGCATCGGTTGACGTCGAAAAGTTTTCGCGATCTGGAAAACACGAAGTCATTCTATGATGACATCTACATCTTCACGAAGTCGCAGAAGAGTGAAGATCACTTGGACGCTCTCCGCAAAACATTGGACATCTTGTGAGATAACAAGTTATATGTGAAGTTGTCCAAGTGCATCTTCTGTGCCGACGAGATTCCATGCCTTGAAGATTTTGTTGAAAGAAACGGCGTGCGGATGGATCCAGATAAGGTGCAGACCATCAAGGACTGGCCAATTCCAAGAACGCAAGAGGAGCCTCACAGCATCCTCAGCTTAACTGGATACGTCCAACGGTTCTGCCCAGACTACGCGAAGCTGACAGCAAGTATGTTTACCTTGCTCAAGAAGAAGTCCAAGCGCAATGCGAAGATTCGTTTCGACGAAGAGCGAAGAACTTCAAGGAACTGAAGAAACGGTTGCGTAATCCACCAGTGTTGTATTTGCCCGAATTAAATCAGCCTATGTATTTGCGTACGGACGCTAGAAAGTTTGCAGTCGGAGGAGTCCTGTTCCAGGTTGTCGATGGTGTTGAGCTACCCATTGCTTACACCAGCAGGAAGATGAAAACCGCAGAACTCAATTACCCGACGCAGCAGCAAGAACGTTTGGCAATTGTCCACGCGCTGGCAGCCTTCCGGATTTACGGCTTGGACAAGCCACCAATCGTGGCGACGGATCACAAGAGTCTTGAAGGTCTCTTTACTGAGAAGATGGCGAATCGTCGTCTTGTGCGCTGGTATGCTATCCTCGCGGAGTATCAGACTACGTTCTCATAACTCCCAGGTGCGAAGAACGGAATCGCAGACGCGCATAAGCCGAACTCCAGACTTGCAACCAGAAACGAAGCACTTCCATGACTTGAGTGTGACCAGTTTCAATGATACGTCCTCCAGTTTGGCAGTCAGCGAGGTGACCACAGACAGCGAGTTGATAACCAAGATCAAAAACGCGTACACGAAATATCGAGGAGCAAACGCGATTTTCACAGCAATCCAGCGGCGCGTAGATAGCCAGCAGCCGAAAGCCAAGCGACAACAGAAGAAACAGTATCGCTGCCATTCGGAAGACAACGGTTTGTTGTGGTACCAGACTCCATCCGACGATGGGTCACGTATAATAGTGCCCAACGATGTGAAGTTGCGGCAGGTGGTCATCGGTGAGTGTCATAATTCCAACTACGGAGATCATCCAGGAGCGGAGCGGACGTACTTGACCCTTGCTAGGAGGTGGTACTGGACCAAGATGTTGAAGTCAATCCAAGCGTACATTGCTGAATGTGAGCCTTTTCGACGGAACAAACCAAGGCTAACGAAGCCACCGGGACTGCTAGAACCACTGCGTGTTCCCGACGAACGGTAGAGATCGATTTCGATGGACTTCATCACCGACTTGCCACGAACAAAGCGAGAGGTAGATTTCAACTGGGTCGTCGTCGACCGACTGACAAAGCTTTTTCACTTTGTGCCGACTACGAAGAAGGTAGATGCCGAAGGCGTTGCCCGTCTCTTCATCGACCATATCTGAAAACTTCATGAAATGCCAACAAGCATCGTATCCGACAGAGACAGGAAGTTCGTTTCGACGTTCTGGCAACACGTCTTCAAATCAATCGGAACAACGCTAAAGATTACAGTGGCGCATCGATCTCAGGGAGACGGCCAGACGGAGCGGATGAACAGAACACTCGAAGAATACCTAATGTGCTACGTTGGACCAGTTCAAGACGACTGGGACATCCATCTTGCCAATGCTGAGTTTGCAGTAAACTCGGCCGTGAACAGCAGTATCAAGATGGCGCCTTTCGAAGCTGATCTCGGATACATCTCTCTCAATCCTCTATAGCTCACTGCTGAGAATCGTGGCAAGGTTCCAACAAGTCGACTGGATAGGTCCCTATACGGTGGTGAAGAGGATCCACAATTACGCGTACGAGCTGAACATCCCAGCCGGGAACAAACTTCATCCAGTCTTCAACACCAAATCTTGGAAACCATACAAGGATGCCACTCGGATGTCGAGGCCCCATGATGTCGTTCTAGCCGACGGCACAGTTGGACAACTCATCCAAAGACTTCTTGGCAAGCGAACTCACAAGCGACGAACCAATTTCTTGTGGAGTGGGTGGGTGAGGAGAAATCCACTTGGGAGCCGATCGAGAATCTCTCACAGGTCCCAGATCTCATTGCGGACTTCAAAGCATCCAGGAGAAGGAAACGGCGAAGAAGATGAACGGCAAAGTCAAGAGTAAAAGGGGCCCGAGAGTCTACATGTATTCCCGCATTACACCCCCTACAACTTCCGCTGCTTTTTCTCGCTGCGAGCTTTCATTCGATTTGGCATTGCATTTGCCGCGGCGGCAACGGTACCCTGGATTCAGCTTCATCAATCCCATCCACTTGACCTTGTCGAGACGCTCCAAGTTTGTCAAAGGTTCCGGGGTCACAGGCGGTTCGACTCCATCCAGTACAGAGACGGCTGTATCTGGACCCCTCGCGCGAATAACAACGCAGTGTCCGACGAGGCCATCACCAATACTCGTGAGATACACTCCCTCACGCAGTGTTTGAACAAACGTCTGGAACCGTTCCACATTCGTGTATGAAGCATCAAATGAACTCTGGAAGAGAAGATCGTAATCCAACGGAAAATCGCTGCGCTGAAGAACGCGAAAGAACTCCGTAGCTTCCGCACGAAAAACTCCGTCGACAGTGCCTGGATGTTCACGCTCAAAGTCCACTCATAGTTTAGTAGCCGTGGATGCAAGACCAGGGTCACCAAGGAGATAAAGCGCCGCTCGAAACGCGTCCATGAAGCAGCAGGAGAAGCCTGGTCACGACACGCGAAATACTTCTTGTAATAATTGGCGAATACACCAGGGCTCAGATCTTCACACCACCGCATTATCTGATCGATACGGCGAGCGAATCGTTGGGCGAGTTGCTCCTCCCATACCCACCCAACTGAAGCGGCGTAACTTGCCATTCCACGAGAAAGCACCGATGCGGATATTCGCCACGAGCGTTATGCAGCTGCTCAACGTTGACTGGAACGGAGTAATCGGAAGGTGCTGATGGATCGTAGTGATCGGTACGGCCATTCGCAGGATGCTTCGCCGGGACAGGAGGCAAGGCGTACGGGTGCCAGTCACCAGAGTCGGTACTACGCCTCAGGCGATTGAGTCCACCAACAGGCTCGGTCTCCTCATCGCTGTCACCATCAAACAGACCACTCGCTGATGGAGGGGGGATGGCGGACGTGCCGCGCGCAGACCCTCCGAGTCGTCCTCCTCTAACTTTTCGCTTGAGCTGCCGAAAAGCGGACCACAATGCAGTTCCTTCAGGTGGTTTATAATCGACTCGCCAGACACGTCCGACGCCACCGAAGCGTCGTCCAGAGGTGATGATGGCGCGGTGTTCAACGGAGACGGTGAGAACCAGCCGACAGAACAGAAGCAGGCGAAGCCGCAGGAGAACCAACAGCCGACGGCGACGATGGAGGTGACGGTAGTGGCGGTGACAGCGGTGGCGACGTTGAAGCGGGCTACGTTGCAGCCTGTGGTCGCTTTGCGGCCGTTTCTGATGATGGCCGGGTCAACACGGCGCGTGCCAGCCGACCTTAGTCGCACGGAGCCCAGCAGTAGACTGGATCTCCACCAAGAGAGCACGAGAGGAAGCAGACGGGCGTAATGAAGCCATGATGACCGCCTCGGGCTGGAACCCACTCAATCCCAGTGAAGCCAGGCCCGAAGGCGACGATGGCACCGGTTCGAGCGAGACCCTGTTGAGACGGCCGACTTCGCCGCCCGCTGTGCTTTTTCGAGAATGAAGACTATGAAGAGGCGGCGGTTGCCAGAGGGAGTGTGAGTGTATCTGATTGGGCGATATTATTATATTATTGCAATGGGCGGTTAGTACTATGGAATGTAAAAGCATAGTAATTAATATACAAGCAGGTGTAGGACAGCTGTGGAAGCTTCCATCCGTCTGAACTGCGGGGGCGGCACTTTTCTTTTGGCGCGCTCTCCCCCAAGCTCCCCTGACTTCGATAAACAATCGCTCTTCGACGATACTACTTATTATACGCCCGTCGTCCGCCTTTTTTTTAGAACAGACGAGCTTACAACGCCCACGTTTCTGTAAAACTTGAGTTCACCATGCTTATCCGCACCAAGTAAAAGTTGTCGAGATGAATCATCCATTTCGTGACAAATTTGGTGATGTACATGTACAAGACGTCAGGTTCGTGTACGCTCGAGCTCGGTGATGTAGTGGTAACTCCATGTTCTCGTCTGATTCCCTACACCAGGTTTCGGTTTGGGAATGCTATTCGAGGGTCTGGCTCCCTACTCCGGGTTTCCATCCATTCGAGTGGCTGGTACCCTCAGAGACCTCAGAGGGTGGTGGGCTCTCGAAACGGCGAGAGTTTTCCTACGGCATCGGAATGGAGCTCGAAAATATCTTCGCGTATATAGGAGTCGCTACCCTTGCGTGAAGTGGCAATGACGCTCCAACCAGCGTTCGTGTAGTGCTTGGCAAACGCGAATCCGAGACCGCGGTTGCTTCCCGTAATCAGAACCGTCTACTTCACCATGACTGTAGACTATTTAATACTTGTAGTACTTGCTGTGTCGACAGAATTTTGAAGACTTACTCAAAAGCAAGGCACCCCGTCATGAATGAGCACAGTAATCATTGTACCACCCCGCTGTTGGGCACGTCAACAAAATAGGTACAGCATGAAAACTCCTCAACTTTCAAAAGTTGGGTACGTCAAGAATTGAGTACGAGAATGTAAATGGAGGTATCTATTGATGCAAACGCCATACAGCTATGTGCAGGTGTCTTGTGGGTCTACTGTCTTTCGGACGATATCGGTAATCGCAGTAAAGTACGCCTGCTTCTTCACTTCATACGTTTCAATGATGCTCGAGTTATCAGCAGCAACCACATCAAACTGGTTCGCGGCCTCGATAAACGTCATGCTGTCCAATTCCTCGTAGCTACGACCCGTCATTTCTCGAAATTTGCGGATTCGAAAGTCGCGTGCGGCTTTTAGTACCTTGACTCCGTCCGGAGATTCCACAGTCTCATCGTCAATGATATTGGCTGCCAACTCCGAGTCCGAGGTCATACTACGGCGATTCCAGTTCGCAGAACCAACCGATAGGTAAACGTCGTCGATGATCACAACTTTAGTGTGGATGTAGAGATCAAGCTCTTCCTTCGTGGTGTAAATCTGGAACTTGTTTGGGTAAAGTTTCTGAATAGGAGAGGTCATTTCGTAGAGATATTTCTTATATCCAGAGGCTTTCGATTTTCCAACAGGACGCTGCACCACCACAATGAGTCGCTGGATCGTGGGCATCACTTCTAGAAGCGCTTCTAGCAGCTCAGGCACGAGGATGAAGTATTGATCCTCGATGTAGATAAAGTTCTTCGCGTTCAATAGCGCCTTGATACGTGCTTGGAACAGCGAGTTCTCGCCATAAGGAGCGAACCCGGCATAGTTCTTGTACTTACAACTGAAAGTGCGTACGATCTGCACGTTCTGATTACCTAGGTTCGACTTTGTGGTGCTGCTTGCGTACTTCAGAGGCTCCAAGTCTTCGTATGTAGGATTTTCAAAGTCGAGCAAGTCCGGAGCGAGACCTTGTGTTGGCTCGTAGTCAGAGTTCCAGCGACTGATAAAGTTTGCAGCCACATCCTTCGCGGCTGGCCCGTGGATTCGAACATGACCATCCAACCAGCCGTCGAAGTCGCCTTTTACACCGGTTTCTTCACGTAGCTCCGACTCATTGTGGTACATAGTATCCCAGCGATCGGAAGTGATGTCAATTCCACCAACAAAAGCCACAGGGTGTTCATCCTTCCCCATGGAATTGGTAGCCGCGATAATCAAATTTTTCTGGTGGTGAGTCGACGTAATCGTTCGCGTTCGATCATCAAAAAGAAAAAGCGGCTTCTCGCCTGTCGTCGGTGATGCTGGGATAGCGTTAATGTCGTCACGGACCTTGATATTCTGGGCTTTGTTCAACAAATTCGCCCATACTAACGCGTGAAAACTGCCGCCTCGTTGTATCACGCCTTCAACCACGTCGTGCAATTGGGACTTGTTGCCACCGTCAACATCGGGTTGAAAAGGAATGAGGTCTGTACCCCAACCAGCCAGCATTACTCGATCTCCTTCACCGGTAGATGAGAGATCCTTGAAAGCAGCATCGAAGTACTCCTTTGTAACTGTGTACGTTGTCACGTCATTCCCAGTCGTGTAAGTGGCCAAGTCGCTTCGAGGTGTACCATTACGTGACGCCGTGATCTCCTCCTCAGTTAGAAACCAGTCCGTCGGTAACAGCAAAGGTTGATCGACCGTCAGGTCTGACCCGTCCGATAAGTCCATACCTTCTTGCTTCTTGTAGCCGCAGGTCATCGAAACCTTCTTGAACTCGCACACGTGACATGGTTCACAGATGCACAACCTCGTAACTGCGGAGAAAAAGCTGCCAACCTTGGTACACTCGACACCAACGCGAGTAGAAGTAGTCTTTGTGAAAGGAGAGAGGGACGCCGACGTGTTTGTAGCCGGAGACACGCTGAGTAACACGAAAAACAGAGCGAGAATTCCTGGGCGGCGAACCATGGTGCAAGTTGCACAATAAGCAGTACGGATTACTCACAAATGCTTGTGCACTGTCCAAAAAGCGTGTGCATTGTCGTTCTACGACGGAAGTAATGCTCCATTTGGCATGATGGGATGCCGTATTGATTAGATAGAGGCTCATAATATTGTATGTAAGCGTACATTTAGTGTTCGTAAGCAGAATTTTCATTCGGCACCGATTTGAAATGATGAATGCCCAAAACTGTATGGGGTTTTAAGCAACCTAATAATACAAGCATGCACTTGTATAAGAGCACAAAAATGCACTAAGATATCCACATCCTTAGGTCGCCATTCTACAGTGCAATTGTAAGAACACTTACATGCCGACTTGCTTCCTTACAATAGCCCTCGATCTCGCCTTGCAATTCTGTCTTCTGTGGCCTGGTTGGCGGTGGACCACCGGTGGCCGCTACAATAGTTGTGCAATCGCTCTTCGACGATACTTCTTATTATACGCCCGTAGTCCGCCTTGCTTTTAGTACAGACGAGCTTATAGTCGCCAGCAGAGATTGGTAGTAGCGGTAATAGTCTGGTAATATGTAATAGCCAAGTAATAGGGAGCTAATAGTCCGACTATTAGGAATATTTTAAGCTCATTTTAGTAATAATAGATAAGTATTATCTATAATTGGGGTCAGATTGTAATAGTGGAGTACTATCTGATAACACTGGTAATTCCCACTTAGAACAACGCTGATTCGTAGCAAAATCATGGCACGAGAAGCTGCCAGTGCCAAACTGGCACACAGGCGCGAAGCTCGCTGTACACCGTCAAACGAGTGAGCGGTTCGTCCCACGAGAGCCCTGCGGTTCACAGATCGAGGCTCATGAAATCTGCCTCGATCTGTAGCTGGTGAACACCTTGGTGGTCGACGGCCGTCGACCACCAAGATCAACAGTAGTAATACTCCACTAATATAACAGTAATATCACTTAGACCCGTCAGTCAAGTCGGTAATACTATCATGTTATTAGGAGCTAATTATGTGGTGGGTATTACTGTATTACTTTTGATAAAAAAAAATCGTTCTACTATCAATCTCTGCTCACCAGCCTTCATTCATACGTCATCGTAGCTGCGCCCACGTTTCTGTAAAACTTGAGTTCACCATGCGTATCCGCACCAAGTAAAAGTTGTCGAGATGAATCATCCATTTCGTGACAAATTTGGTGATGTACATGTACAAGACGTCAGGTTCGTGTACGCTCGAGCTCGGTGATGTAGTGGTAACTCCATGTTCTCGTCTGATTCCCTACACCAGGTTTCGGTTTGGGAATGCTATTCGAGGGTATGGCTCCCTACTCCGGGTTTCCAGTGGCTGGTACCCTCAGTGGGTGGTAGACTCTCGAAAACGGCGAGAGTTTTCCCAAGGCATCGGAATGGAGCTCGACGAATTCTTCGTACTAGAACTGCTAGTTATCAGAAGTGGGCATCCACTTATCCTGGTAGTGAATTCTCACAAGTATCGGAGTATATAGGTTTCTCCTCTCCTCAACAATATCGTTGAGCCAGTCGCGCTGTCAGTAAATTCATGCATCAGTTTTTATACTCATTCAGCAAAGCTTGCCGAGGTCATACCTCTTTGGACATTTTTCCGTAACCATAATTCATTGTCAGGCACTGCCTATTAATAAGCTCCAGCAGCACTGCATTTGACTGCTGCCGCTCACCTTAACAGGGCACGGAAAGTCGAGATCTATCTACAAAGCCTGCACAATTCAGGCTTTATAAGCTAAGGAAAGAGAATCATCGAAGCTATTCTAATCCACGGATGATACAGTAACAAGCAAATCTTTGACAACGAATATTCTAGGACGACGTGCTAACCACCTGTCTTTTGCGAGTTGAACGGTTGATCGCTTGCTTGACAAATTGAAGAATCTGCAATGACAGGAATTTCCCAACTTGCCAGTATTGATGGGGCCATTGCCATTGCCATTCATGGTATATCTTACGTGCATAGTTTGGTTCTTTGTTCCAAATTCTATTTAATATATTGAAACAGTTCTATATTGAAACGGGTTATCATTTCGTAAAGGATTTTTGTGTGGTGAAACCCGTCAGCTCTTATCCCGAATGCGCCTAAAATAAAATAAAACTACCAGCATAGTGTCTCCAAAATGATACCACGATATCAAAATATCACAATAACATCGTTGGAATCAATCCCAGCCTGAGTGGAGATGTACTAATGTCGTCGTCTCTTCGTGTTTCTGACAGGCTAGCATAGGGGGATTGGGGCAACCTGACAACTGTACGAATCGAAGGGATTTGTTTGATAATCTCTCCAGTACAGTACTGCACCTGTTTTCGTGCCCTCGGACTTTGATAAACTTCCAGATATAGTATTCCTTTTGCCAATATCTACGGGTTTCTATTCTGAAACCTGATTTGAAACCAGATGTATTTTTAAATCCTATATGTTCACCCCACGAAAACGGTGCATGTAAGGTATTCTTTCTAATCTATTTTAATTTTTAGCATTGACATACCATAGAAACAAAATGGAAGATTTTTTTTATACAAATAGTCATGAGTATTCTTGACATGTAAAATACTCCCCATTTAACATCCCATTTCTAGGACTGTATTTTAGTATGGAGGAAGTAAATGTCTCATACTAGACCAACTTAGAGAGTAACGCAGTTGGAGGGTTATTATTTGGAGGGGTATTTACTTCGTTTTCTAATAAAAAATTATCAAACAAATCCCAAGTTTATAATTCCCCAATAAGGATACTATTAACTTGAGATTTCAAAATCCGTCGGATTTGGTAATCCCGTTAGCGCATCAAGTCACAAGAGGTTTGTAACCGCGTGGTCAATGATCGCTTTTACCTGTAGTGTGCTGGAACTGAATCAAAGCGATTATGTGGAAGGCACACCTCAGAAAGAAAGAATGGATTGCGTTGATGCTGTGGCTGGAATATTTGCCAGACATTCAGAAATGCAATGGAGTAGTCAAGAAGACCGCACTCGGAAGAAGTAGTCCTAAGAGTGATGGTTTCAGGGAGATGGTCACTGTGCTGAAAGGAGCAGCAGCAAGGACTAGCTCTGATAAATTAACGGCGTTAGCTCCACAGCTCCGGACTGGGTCGGCTTGTGATAGACATCCAGAGGGGACGAGCGGGTCTTTGGGCTCTTGTGTATGTAGTTACATGAATAGCGCGAAGAGATGCATTGCCTGAAATCTTTGCTCTTTAACGCAGTGAGTCAGCGACGTGATAGTCAGCATGCCCTCGGCAGCACCGTAGAACACGATTACCGACGACTTTCGTGTAATAAAAGGCAGAGAACCAAGTAGTCCTTTCGTTTGCACACTCTGGTCTTTGATTTGGAAAATCACCGAGTTATTCGCCACACCATTTTTTGTTTTGCTTTGCATCTTGTCACTCCGGAGTCATCATTGTCTGATACTGCAAAATGAAGTGGTGAAGCCTGAATTATGGCCTCAAAGTCGTGGAGACATCAATTTGACAAGTTAAGGGGATTAATGCATGCATGAAAAGCATCTACTAGTCGTTGGCACTATTTAAACATGTTTAGAACAAGCGAATGTCTTCGATCTTGCCGATTCGCGGTGATCCTTTCTGGAAACCTCCGTGGATACTTTCGCCTAGGCATTTGAAGCGCCTTGATAAGTCCAGCAGTTGCAGTACACGCAGCGTCAGCTTCGACCTTGATGGTTGGGTGTATCCTGGATCGCTTGCGATGTGTTTGAGCTTCTCCATGGTTAACTTCTTCATGGCATATCATGTTTGTCCAAAGTAGCGGATTTGAACCAGACTCTTCGAAAAAAAAAGAAGCGCTTGCCGTTCTGACGGTCGACACAGCGATAGTCTTTAGTTCGCTCTTGGCTCCCGTTGTTGTCGCAAGACTGCAGCGCGGTGAACGGACTCTCCTCTCTTGCGTGGGTTGATACGCACTCACACTTGTGGATTTTGGAGGGGTTGGATTAGACCTAAGAGGCATTTCCTTTGACGCGAACCTCACTGAGTACACTTGCTAAGTGATTGGAAATGTGAAGACTGAATAGGAGCTCTTATACTGCCACCACCAGGGTTCGTTATACCAACGCTACTGGTGCGCTACTATCTACTGTTAAATACTGCTCAAAGTACCATAGTAGTCAGTAGTTTGGACACTACTACTCATGAAGTAACCAGTAACTCAAATAGCGAGCGGTGTTACTGTCGATTTACTGTCAAAGTACTGTCTTGCAGCTCAAGAAAACCAGGAGCTTCTGATCAGCACAAGCATTCCCCTCTCACCTGTATACAAACGTAAATGCTATAGCAAACGTAGCATTATCGGGACAAACACTTCTTCAAACAAGTACCAATCGGCTGCATTGTTGCCGAGCTTTGCTACGGTACCAAAAAAATCAAGTCACCTTTGCGGGCGTATTTCTATAGCAAAAACTTTGGCGGGTTAGCAGGGAGCGCAGGGACGAAAGTAGTCTTTAGTTCGAAGTGTCGAAAGACGAAGTAAGTAACTTAGCGATTAACAAACTAGGAATATGATCTACAAAGATGTATGTTCTAGAAGCTAGCTACATCCATAATTTAGTCAGCATCAATAGCATCAGCGTATGAGGTATTCACCATCTCAAACACATAGAATTGTGTGTATTACAGCGTAAAGGGGCTGTTAGCTTCCAGCATGGTTAATCACTGAACCTCGAACTACCTATGTTTAAACTTGGAATAAGATGAGTAAAAGTAAAAAAAAAACAACGAAAAACGAAAAACGAAAAACATAGGTTTTGCTATTATCCCCAATCGTCGAGCTCCCCTCTATTGCTTGTCTATCATTTTCCATTCAGCTATAGTACATTATTGAAGCTGGTACCGAAAAAAGCAAACTCGTTCTGACCTTCGCCTGGTGTCAGTGTCGGACAAACCGTTGTGTATGAGTGTACCAATGACGTTGCCTGCGTCACGTCGAAGACGCCAAGATACGCTTACGAAACCCTCTCATTTACGGATTTGTGATCGTCCAACACAGTCTCCATTTCGTCACCATGGACATGCCATCCGATCAACCGAGTGATATCTACGGCACCTTTGACGGCCACCAGATCCATGACGAAACCTTGACAAGAGTGTCAGATCCGTCTTCTCGGAAACCCACTCTACTTCGATTTGTTAGCTTGGTTGTCGTACTGCTGGTCGCTGGGTATGCTACTACTTCTGAGTTCCAGGGGATGCAAAGCACCAATTCACTTGTGGAATTCCGTGATGAATACGACGCGAGCAGCGGGAACAATCCGTTATACCACAATGTGGCACTCGAGACGGCGCTGAATGATGTCGAACACCAACTTGTTGATGGTGTGGACGCTGCGCATATCCGAGAGTATCTTCACGAGTACTCCAAGAAACCCCACATCGCTGGGTCCAAGGCGGATTACGAGACGGCGCTGTACACGGTGGAGCAATTTGAGTCGTTCGGTATCAAGACAGAGATCAAGGAATACTACACACTACTATCCACTCCTATTCGTCGTCGTCTTGCGATTGTGGAGCCCAAGGAAGCCGCACAAGAGCTCAATCTGACAGAGGCATCAGTAGCTGGAGACTCGTGCACCGTGGACCCCACCGCAGAGCCGCCGTTCTTAGCGTACTCTCCGTCTGGAAATGTTACGGCTCCTGTAGTGTACGCAAACTACGGATCGCAGCAAGATTTCCAGTGGCTGGTGGATGAGGGGATCGACCTTAAGGGGAAAATCGCATTGGTGCGTTACGGTACAAACTATCGCGGACTGAAGGTGCTCTCCGCTCTGGAGCATGAAATGGCCGGAGTACTCATCTACTCAGACCCTCTGGACGACGGGTTTGGAAAGGGTCCAGTGTATCCGGAGGGTCCTTGGCGTCCGGAAAACTCATTCCAGCGTGGATCCATCTACAATGAGTGTGGAGACCCATTAACTCCAGGATGGGCTTCAATTCTCGGGACAAAGTACCTTAACTATGAAGATGTCAAGACGATTCCGCACTTACCGTCCCTGCCTCTTTCATACGGACAAGCCCAACATATTCTCAAGACATTGAAAGGTAGACAAGCACCGGCGAGTTGGCAGGGTGGCCTGTCATTCCCTAATGGCTACCACATTGGGGATGATAGTTCAACCGTGATGAACTTAGATTTGGAGATGGATAACGCTATTGGACCTATCTGGGACGTTATCGGCACTATCGAAGGCTCAGAGGAGCCGGAAAAGCAAGTTATCCTAGGCAACCACCGCGATGCGTGGGTCTGTGGCGCTATTGATCCCAACAGCGGCACTTCAGTTCTCGTGGAATTGGGTCGAGTGTTTGGAAACATGCTTAAAGCAGGATGGAGACCCAAGCGCACGATTGTTCTTGCGTCTTGGGATGCTGAGGAGCAAGGACTGCTAGGCAGTACAGAATATGTCGAAGAGAACGCCGACAAGTTGAGAGCTAAGGTCATCGCGTATCTTAACGTCGATACCACGCTGGGTCCACTAGCCGGAGCTGGAGGCTCGCCTTCTATTGCCAAACTTCTCTTCCAGACTGCGAACGCTATCCCTGCCAATGACTTTGGCGGAGTTTCAGTTGAGCAGAAGACTCTTTATCATCAATGGCTCGCACAAACTGAAAGCTATCGTCGAAGCAACGCTACATCGGGAACTATTGGGCCAGATCATCTTTTGACGGTGTTAGGAACAGCAAGTGATTTTGGTGCCTTCTGTCACCATTTGGGTGTCGTGTCTGCAAATATTGGGTTTAGTCTGTCTGGTGCTTACGGTACTTACCACAGCACAATGGATAGTATCATGTACTCGGAGCTGTTCGCAGATCCAGACTATATCTCGCACGTGACGACAGGACGTTGGTGGGGGTTGTTAGCTCTGCGTTTGGCTGATAACGCGGTACTTCCGTTCGAGTTCTCGACGTATGGCCTTGTGATGAGCGAAGCGGTTGCGTCGTTCGAAGAGCAACTTAAAGTGGCAGCGGAACGCTATCTTGGCGTTGATAAAGTTGACTTGGGAGAGCTACGACGCGCTGTTGACAATTTTGATGCAAGCGCTCAGGAATTTCACGAAAACCTGGCGTCTTTAAAGTCTGGCGACGATCTCAGCTATTGGAATAATAAACTCATGTACTTGGAACGCCATCTCACTATGGAGGCAGGACTGCCACATCGCAGCTGGTACAAGCACGTCGTGTTCGGCCCGGGATTCTACGATGGCTACGGCGGCACAGCCTTCCCCGGTCTGGCTGATGGAATTGCATTCCATGACAGCGCTGAGGATATCCAGACGCACGTCGACGACGTCGTTAAGGTGCTGGGCGGAGCTGCAGCATTCCTACAATCAAAGTAGCATCAGAACTCCCACACGTGAGTATAGATACTCGAAGGTTCTTGGTGGCATGCTCAATTAAAAGCAAACTTGATAACTGTATCTCAGTTTCCTCCTTTCCTCTTGATACGGAGTCTCTCTTTGCACACTCAAGTCTCGTAAATTGGCTTGAACGGCACGTTTCCAGTCGTTTGCAGCCAGTTATCTGCAGGATAGTCCACATTGTGGCTTTCAACCACGTGAATCGAGTACGCGTGGCGCGAAGAGGGCGATGTATTGGCCTCGCTGTAGTGCACGAAGGAGCTGTGCAGCAACACGAGGTCTCCTTTCTTCGTGAGCAGTGGCTGGCTCTTGCTGATGTCAAAAGGATCCACTTTCTCGGGCACATTCTCCAGCAATAAGCCTCCATTTTTCTCCTGCTGCTCCTTGGTTGTACGTCTCAGCCTCTGACGTACCGGCACTGTCAAGTGGGAGCCTGGAATCCCATGCAGACATCCGTTCTCAAGCGTACAGTCCTCCAGAGCCCACCAGAATCCCACCACAGACTGAGGCTCCGTGTACAAGTAGCTGCCATCCTGATGAGGTTTCACTTCCCCTCCAATCCCCGGCTGTTTAAAGATGTACATGGATTGCACTGCCATTGGACGCACATACTGTAGAGACTTGAGAATGTCCTGGACTTCGGATGCGTAGCTGACCTTTTCAAACACCGGGTCGAGGTTGTGCAAATTGTGGCCGATCTTGTTGATGGCTACATCCAGTGGCACTGCCAGTGTCTTCTGGTCTTCTTGAAAGGCGTGTTCCTCGAAGAAGTAGCGGATCTTGTCGCCAGACTCGAGGAAATACTCGTCATTCATGCGGCGGGTTTGCTCGTTGGTCGTGAAGATGGAGCGATGCTCGTTCACGTCGCACTGTGCCACGTACTCGCCTGCTTTGGCGCGTAACTCATCGCACGTAGAGGGGGATAGAGCCCCAGGGATGACGAGGAAGCCGTCGCGGTTGAAGGCAGCGAGCTGGTCGGGAGTCAGGCCTGGCATTTGATGGGGATTCTTGATCTGGAGAGAACGTTATCAGAAGTGTGTACCACCGAAACCTTTATCATTATATATGGGTACAAAGGTCGAAGGAGCGGCAAAGTTTTGTCGGCAGAGAATAACTGTAATAGCGGATTTCTAAGAGAAACCCGATACGGAATGGAATTAGTGATATATCCGATTAAGCGGGGAAAGGTTGCGGGCCACACGTTTTGAAACTGTGAGAAGGCATATTGAAGTTGATACGTGTGGCAAAATGTAGCCATTCCATGCTGTAACGGTTGATGTAGTCATTGCTAGCAAGGTCCATGCTGATACCCGTTCGTCGTCACGACTCCGCTCTCGTGCAGTGCAATGCCATCTTTTTTGCCATCTTCTGCCCATGTGCCACCGTTGGCCATGCCAGTAAGCGAACCTATGCTAGTGGGACAACCTCCAGCGGCACTATCAACGGCTCGAGTCAGCACCGGAGAAAACGGCAACTACTTGAAGGGCGGACCATGTGTCGATTGGCTGGAATTAATGCGTTCGGGTCTGGAGATTGATCTGTACAGCCAACGGTGTATGCGATCTTATCCCTTTACCTAATGACCGGCAAGATAGTGCCGTTTACTGCTGCAAAAACAACGATAACTTCGTTAATGGCGTGTTTGGGTGCCATGAGAAGCCACGGAACTCGCGTTGAGGGAGTGATATAGTGATTGGGAAAGAGGACAGAGCTTTCCTGCCATACTGCTCGTCCTGAATAGCTCCAGTGATTTCTCCCAACGGGCTGCAACAGTCCCATACTGTCGCCGTAACGAACTGAAGCAGCGAAACGGATCGGCCACAATTGATTTAATACATCCCTTTGCTTTGTGGAATTAAACAAGTACTAGTCCATACCGAAGCCATTCTTCCATTGAGTCGTTTCATGTTTCTTGAAACGAGACTCTGCGCTCATCGAGGTCAGCTCGGCTGGGACGGCGCACACGAAACTTCCCATCGGAACCCTCAAGCAAAGCCACACTAGCAGCCCGCTTGGCTCTCACATCCGAACTCATCGTCTATCTGCCGCGCTCGGCCACGAAGCTGCACCGAAGGACGGCGACTAAAGACATCTCGATAACAGGAAATCTATGGTCACCGCCGCACCTAGTGCTAAGAAAGGCACTCACAGTATTCGAGGAGCGACGGTACCCGCACCGATACTTCTATCTCCGATTTCCGTCGCTCACCGGGTATGTTCTAGCTCGTTTGTTCATCAATTTTACGTCAGTATCTTACAAAGTTCTCAATATTTGCAGAGTCAGATGATGGAGAGTGAAACAGGAAAACCATCGACTAGAAATGCGATTCGAGATCAGTGGGTGGCCAATTTACAGAAGAAACGCATGGCCGCTGCAGCAGGTACCGGAGCTCCAATTGGAAATGGCAATCCATTGCCTCCAGGCTCAACTACCTCGTCGAATAGCAGGTCGAACAGCAACAGCAGGAGCAGCTCAGCCAAGAAGAGCAGTCGTAGTCGCAGCGCCGCTGCAAGAGCAGCCAAGAACAGAACAGCGCAACTCAACGCCGCAGCACTCGAGAAAAGCCTCAATTCCCATCAATGCAATATGTACCAGCACAACCAATTCGCAGCCATGTCTTCCGACTTGATCGTCGATAGTCAGATTGCCATGACTGAGACAGACGCACAAACATTTGGTCAGCCTTCTATGCTGTTTAGTGGGTTAGACTGCTTCGAGCTCGAGTCACCATCATTCTCGCGACTTATTTCGTCATCTCTCGATGGAGATTTCCCATTAGCGTCACCAGATCCAACCGTCACGACCAAAAAGACTAAAAGCAGACCAAAAAGAGGGACCAAATCGTCCAAGAAGCGACCAACGCACTGCCTGGCGCTTGAAGTAGACCAGCCAAAGCCCCGTACACCACGTCGCAAGCTGAACTGCGGCTCGGCTACATTCGACGACTTTGATCTCGACTACAGCGTCAGTTCGGGCTTCCCTGGGGTCGGAACGCCATCCAATTTCCGTGTGGATGCTTCAACGAGGCATTTGTGGGGTCAGGAACTCGACTTGACCGGTGCAGGAGGATACGCGGATACTTTCCTGGATTTACCGACGCCGCGTCTAGCTGAAATGCCTCTCATGACAAGTTCTCAGCAGTCGAACGCCAGCACCGCTAGTAACAGTAGTAAACAGTCAAACGAGGAGCACGATAACCAGGAGGAACTGGATCACCCTCGACTGATTCGAACCAATAGTATCGAGCAGGAAGGCTTGAGTTACTTCCTAGAGCAGACCAACTTGGACGGTAACGACGGTGGCCATGGCGAGCAGCTCTACCAGCTTGCAGCGAACCCTCTTGTTAACGCAAGGAAGTCGCCGTTCTCGGGTGGCTCCTTCTTCTCCAGCAGCGCAACGCCACGCACTGCGGCGGCTGCAGCAGTTGTGGACGAGTGTTTTGGCGGAAAGGGCTTCTCCTCGACATGGCCAATGCCATCCCCGCTAGGCTCTCAGTCTAGGCCTAGTGCTCGGCGTCGCATGACTCCTCGAGACCCCAAGCACCCGGAGTTTGAAACGTTGACGGACGAGTACAAGCTCACCGACATCGATCACGAGCTCGACAGTTTTTACCTCGACACTATGGAGGCGATCGGCAATGACCTCGATCTCATGTCTAACTGACGTCCAGGTCTGACCATGCTAGCTGAAGTCCGTCGTAAAATAGAGCCGTACAAAATACGCATAACGTTATGATAATAGAGCGCCACAAAACGCATTAAGGCAACAAGGACTCAGCATTAAATCGGGGGAGAACTTTGCGTTGTCGAAGAGTGTGCGTCCTTGGCACAAAACGTCTCCATTTTCTTCTCTTTTTGGCCAGTTTTCTATGACATTACGCGCTTGTGCAGAGCCTTCCCGCGGTGGTTGAACACGTGGAAGTCCGGGCTCGAGATGACAGTGGCCAGCGACCTGCAGCATTAAAGCAAACGACCCAAAAATTAGTATCTACAGCTCAAATTGTGTTCCTTTTCAGCGGCAATTGCACGTCGCACCTGGAGTGCAGTGCGTCGTTGGAGCGGATAGGCAGAATCTCGCCGGAAGTGAGCAGTACGCCCACTAGCGAGACGAGGAAGGCCGCGACAAGCTCCACCACGACCTGCACGAACATAAATGCATAGCTGATGAGACATATTCACCTCTCTGTTCATTGGGGTAATAATTAACCTCGAATGGAGGCATCTGCGCATCGGCCGTCTCGGTCAACTTGACATACGACTCGTCTGGTTGAATGGAATTTACAGCATCAAAACGTCGATAAGAGATGCAAGAAGACAGGGTTGGAAAGAGGAAACGCAGGAGCGTACACTGCACTGAGTAGTAGCCGGCGTGCACCAGCAGTAGCGTCCCCACCGCGATCAGAAGCTTGCCGAAGAACACCATTTTTCCACTTGGAATCTGTTAGGGCGATATCGAAATCCTGTCGTAATTCATGAAATAAACTACCCTATCCTAACACATAAACATAGACCTATAATAGCCCATAGCCTATGAATTAATATAGGTTATGTTTGAGACAGATTCCCCGTTCAACTCGATCATTTCGGATCCATCCGGGATGATGTTCTGGGGTCGAGGTGGTGGTGGTAAATCCGCTACGACGTCCGCTGCAGGTCACTCAGACGCGTCTCGCCGGGCGTCCCAAGATGCTGTTTTCGCAGCGGTCCCAACCGTACCGGTTGCACCTTCGTACGTTCTCTCAGAGCAGCGTCGCAGCGAGTTGTTATTATCTGCTCGCACAAATCGCGTGTCGTGGGTCGACGGCGTCGATCAACGCGATAACAACGCGCTTCCAGTCGGATGCAATGGGTTCCCAGATAATTTAACAGCTTCATCTATCCCCAGCCATTGCCATGAAGCTCTGAAGGGTGTCAACGACGAGCTATCCAAGTTTTTCGCGAGTCTAGACGAACTAAAGCTCAAAATTCTGCCCAATGAACTACAGCTGACCGAGGAAGAGCCACAGTCAACTGCAGACACCCAGCACTCTACAAGACGATATCGGACGTTACTCCAGGAGCTAAGGGAGCAGGGGACGCTGCTGGACCAATGGCAGCGCTCGCACAGTCCCCGAATGAAAAAGTTGACCGGCCACGATCGCGAAATGGCGTTTCTCGTCGGGTTTCGAGAACTTGTAGCACTATTAAAGAGCGCCCAAGCAGCCGAACTAGTGTACCGTATCCAGTCCTTTGTAAAGCGAGCAGAGCTATGGGATCTGCCGCTGATGCTAAGAGCGATCGCGACGAGAGATCGACCGGGCGGAAAAGTGCAGGACTTCGTGAACAAATTGGTGGAGCAGATCAAACACAGTAAGAAGCTGAGAATTTTGCTACAAGGAGATGAAGACACACAGTCACAACTAAGGTTTCTACATGTGAGAGATCCGTACGGAGTGGATCTACTACATGAAGTTCTGGAGGCATTCCTGATGGAGAAACTGTATGCAAAGACGCTTACCCCCTCGATAGAAGTAGCGAGTCAAGACGAAGCGTTCCATGATCGTGTGAGCTTGTTGGGCTTTGTCACCTTCAAGCATCTAGATTTACCAGTACCGAAGACCAAAGAACAGGAGCAGACGTGGCTTCGGTTAGCCAAGCAGCTTGAAGCCATGACGTTGTGTCCGAGTCCTCGCCGCAAGATGGACGCTGTAATGCGAGTATGTCAGGACCTGACGACGTTCTTAAAGGCGCAAAACGGCGGCAGATTCCCGTCCGCAGATGAATTTTTGCCGGCGCTGATCTACGTCGTGTTGCGGGCCAACCCGTGCGAACTCAAACGCAACGTGGCGTTCATCTTAGAGTACCGGAATCCTACAAAACTTGTGTCGGAGCCAGGCTATTTCTTCACACACTTGGTCTCTAGTGTGGCTTTTCTCGAGGAGGTTAATGGCTCTAGTCTCACCATTTCGCCTCAAGAATTTGACGAAGAATTGCGTCGAAGCAAAGAGCTGCTCAGAGTGAGAGGTGTCCATAACGAAATAGACCATGAAGTCGCGAGTAATGCCAGTAGCGGCAGTACTGGAGAGACCATGAACGTCTCAGCAAACGAACTGCAGAAAGAGCGACAGCAAATGCTACCTAGTGACACCGGTAAACGGGAACAGGACGAGTCATTGCGTCTTCCGACTGTACTCGAAATTCGTGCAAGACGGTTAGTAATGATCGGAAGCGATTAGAAAAAAAAATAGTTAGCCAAAATATCTTACCAATATTTTACGTTAGTTGCCTTTCGTGACATTGTCAAAGTTCAAGCAGCAATGTGGGCCAACAAGGGCTCGAAATCATTGTTTCAGAACTTTATTACGGACAACATATCTCCATGGGTGGCGCGTTTGTCCCTTGCCTGCCAGTATTTGGGCGTTGATGTGGTGGAGGGCGATGCATTTCTCGGCCGTGGCGCTCATGGACGCGTATTTAGAGTCATTAGGCGGGATGGCGAAGTTTTCGCGCTAAAAATCGTGGAGAAATGTTCGGTGGGACGTCTTTATCAAGAGGAAAGGGCCTTGACAATTGCCCAGCAGACAGGCTTGACGGCTAGTCCTGTGGGAAAGATCATCGAAACTCCTGAAAGCGCGGCGTTATTGCTTTCTCCTGTGGGGAAACCTCTGCCTCGACCGACGACACGACACGAAGTACTAAGCCTCTTTGAAATGCTGAGGCAACTCCACAAGAATGGTCTGGTCCATGGAGATCCTCGCGTGCCGAATGTGATCCTCGATGGGGAAAAGCCTCTCTGGATTGATCTTATGGAAGTGATGGAAGCGAGCCCCACTTTGAAACAAATTGATGCTGAAATTCTCACACGGTCCATCCTCAGTGTCTCTCCGACCATTTTGCTGGACCCGGCGCTGAAGGAGTTAATTGACTACTTTGGCAAGAGCGATACGTCAGAAAGTCTTAATAATCTGGCCGAAGTAGTCTGTGATAGCTTGACATTTTTAAATTAGCTGCAAGTTAATCCGATCCAATGGCTTTCATTCGCACATTTCATCGTAGTTCTAGATGCTACATGTGTGCTTGTGTCCACACTCCCTTCGATATCAATAATTGTTATTCCTAATAAATATAAAGTGAATAATATAGAAAGATGGCATACTCGCCTGAGCAATACCAAGCTAACAAGGAGCGCATTAATGCAGCGCAGAAGCGCTACTACCAGCGCACACGCGAAGCACGATTGTCCTATCAGAAGAGCTACGACGATAAGAATAGAGAGCAGATTCGTGCTCGGAAGCGAAAGCCCCAAATCGAACTTAATGAGGATGGAAACGAACTTAGCGCTGAAACCGAACTTAGCTAATTAATTAATTTTTTTTGAGATGAAAAAAGTCGCCAGTGATATAAAGTCGATCCTGATACAAGATCTCAATACTATAAAGTCATCACACCGAGAATAATATAGCTATAATTATATAACGAGCATGTTTGCATACGAGCTTGAAGGACTAAAACGATTAAATATTCGAGCAATTAAATGGGGTACTAGCTACCGGGTGAAGGTTCGCGGAAAGACTGGTAAGATGGTCTATGTTAGCAACCTATCGCGCCCTAGCAACCTCAAGCTAGTGGCTAAGCAGTACAAGACCACCCTCAATAAGCTGGAGAAGCATTTGTCTTCGGACTATAAGGCTGATCCTCACTATCGCTTTTACAAGGGCAACCACATGGAGTCCCACCTATACGAGGGGATCCAACCTGGTGAGTTCTACGACAAGCTCGAGAACGTTCTCGAGAGTCAGAAAAGTGCTTTTAAGGTAAATGTTGCCCTCGGGTATGATCTTGTTAGCAAAACCGATGATTCCGACACGAGATACTTCCACCCAAATCTCAGCAATACCTCTGTATTCGACAAACCTGTTGCCATCAACAGCAGGGGCGACATTCGTAAGGTTATTTCTGAGATTCGCTCAATGGAGCTGGCTGATAAACTCAACTACCCAAGCTCTGGGTACATGGTTAAGGCTATCACTGGGTTCAAGATTTTTCTATATCATCGCGAGCACGCCTTGGGAGATAGTGAAGTAGTTATCCCCAAAATCATTCAAGATAATAAGAGTGTTATCAACTTCCCTAAGACCAACAACAAATGTGTCTTTCACTGTATCGCTTTCCACAAGCATAATGATCCCAAAAAGGATCCGCGGAAGATTCAGTCGTTGGTGAAGCAGGCTTTCAAACAATACTGCGCATTCAAGGATATTACCTACACCCTCGGTCTGTATCGAAGTTTCAAGCCTATTGATATTCTCCAGTTTGACGAGCTTGAGGAGTGCTTCAAACTAAGTATCAATGTCTATACTATGGATATTGACTCTGGAAAGGTTGATTCCATTCGTCGATCCGACAAGGGCTACGATTCGATCAACATCCTTTCGCACGAGAACCACGCTCTCTATATTAAGAACCTGAACGTGCTTCAGCATAAATATCAATGTGGGAAATGTTATATGGTCTTCGTTAGCTCTGAAAAGCTTAGGAACCACGTCAGAAATAAGTGTGAGCTTGTCAATGTCGAATCATTCCCAGCTAGCCCAACGATCTATCGCCCTGCGCCAAACACCATTGGCTCACTACTAACGAAGTATTCTATTAAGGGTACTGACCAGTACATCGACCATTTCATCGTCTATGACTTTGAGGCTATTCTCAAGCCTACGACTACTAAGCACGGGGAAAATACTGTCTTCACAAACGAGCACATCCCGGTATCGGTGTCAGTAGCCGATAGCTTAACGGAGGAGGTTCGTTGCTTCGTGAACGATGATCCAAAAGCTTTGCTAAAGGATATGTTCAACTACATCAGCGCTATTGGT